CCGGGGGTAAAAGTACCGGTGATGCTCGTCTGAAATTTTCAAAAATACACCTAAAAGATCCTGGTACTCTTTCAAAAAGGGCGTGGCTGACTGACTTTTAGCCCCTAAGAGATTGCACTACAAATATTGTTATATCAGTTGCAATGATAAAAAGTATAAAATATTTAATGTCAAAACAAAACGCGAAGAAAATCAATATCGATGCGCTCTTTCTCTTCTTTTCCAACAACACCCTAAGAGATTGCAGAAAATGCAAATTTTCACAAACTCCAAATTAGAACCCTAAAAGATTTACAATCACGAATTTTTACCCCTAAAAGATCCGACGAGCATCTCCGCCCGTACTCTTAGACCCGGAGTTCCCCCCTTCCCCCTGGGACCTCATTTGTCCTTAAATTTTAATTTGCTTGTTTGTACAGGTATTTCCATCTAAACTTAAGTCATTGCAGATAAAATGGAAGCATAAATTGAGCACTGATATCAAGAGTAAAAACTTACCAGAAGGCAGTACAACGACTTCTACAAAAAAAAAAAAAAAAAAAAAAAAAAAATGAAAAAGAACTTGAGAATGGCACTACTGGAAAAGTGCATTTACACAAAATAAAAACCAAAAGTATTTTACTCATTGATTGTTCTTTTTTATTTTGAAACCAGTCGTTAAAAAAAGTTACATATGCGCAAAGGCTGATTTATTCTTCCCTTTAAAGACAAAAATGATATAAAAAAAATATAAGAACGATATTTAGAAAATTTGTGGAACTCATCGCATGTTTAACAATCATTAACACTAACTTACTGGTTTCACAGTTCTTTCCTTTAAATCCAGGTTTACATTTACATTCGTACGAATTGACCCCATCGATACATTCGCCACCATTTTGACAAGGCGTCTTGGCACAATCGTCCACATCTGCAAAGAATCATACATATTATTACACTGACATTGAAGTATATCTGTTTTATATGAAGTTCCATATTTCAGTCGACGTCGTTCAAAAATCGTAAATCGGAAGTTTGCTTCGATTTATAAGAAAGGAAATCTGCAAAAGTACGGCTTCTTTTGACCGCATTTCTTTTTTAATTTAAAACTCAGCGAGCTTAAAAGTTTGAAGACAATCTCACCAAAAGTGGATCAATGCTATAATAATAATTTAATGATAATTTAGAAGTGACGACCCTGGGCTCGACATTGGAATAAGACAAGCAGGAATAGCAAAAGAGATTCAAAATCTTAATTACTTTCACAATTCTTTCCAACGAATTCATCTTTGCATTGGCAGGAGTAAGAGCCGACTTCATCTTTGCATTCACCGCCATTTTGACATGGTTTTGAAGCACATTCGTCTATTTCWGTGAAGTGAWAAAAGTTTAAAAAGTGWAAAAAAAATACAGATGAAGTTAGGAGACTTTAGGAGAAATTGCCCAGTTGGCATACGTAAAGCTTTCTAGAATCAAACAAAACTTAGATTTATAATTTTTTAGACGGCTTTAACAAACTATCAGCACTGCCTACTTTTTATGGTATGCAAGTTCTTCGTTTTTAGATTTTTTAGAGTTATCAGCAATATGTATGACATAGAAAGGCCGTGAGAAAACTATCGTCAGAACAACCTACCTGATTCACAGCTCTTTCCCTCGTAACCAGGTTTACAATCACACGAGTAAGTGCTTTCTCCGGAGGTACACTTTCCACCATTTTGACACGGTTTGTTTTCACAGTGGTCAATACCTAAAGAGAAATTACATTTTCTGAATGAGTTATTCATTCTAACATAACTTAAGGTTATCCTTATAAGATTTACAAGTGCCCTCTAAAAAAGTATACTTTGAATTTGATTATGAAGATATGACCTTCACGTAGGATGTCGAAACGCCCCCAAAACCCTAAGCCCCCAAAAACTTACATGCCAGTGCCTAATCTTATGCGTTGTGTTTACCTGAGCTAGCTTCTGAATCTACAATTTGTTCCCTACCCTTCCTCCCCAGGGGTTCGAATATAAAGAACAAACACACACTGTTCACTATGTATAGCATACACCCCCACTGTTGATTAGTGTGCTAGAGGTAACTTGCTAGAGGTATTCCGCTCTAACCTGGGGCCCATGCTGGTTCATAGATCAACAGTATTTGTCCTTACATTTTAATTTGCTTGTTTGGGTAGCTATTTCCATCAAAACTTCATTCCGGATAAAATGTAAGCATATACTGAGCACTATTATGAAGAGTAAAAACTTACCAGGAGGCAGTACAACGTATTCTACAAAAAAAGAAAAGAAAAAGAATTTGAGAATGGCGCTACTGGAAAGGTGTATTTACACAAAATAAAAACCAAGAAATCTTGTTTTACTCAATGATTATATTTTTTTAAGAAACAAGTTCTTAAAAATAGTTTTAATAAAGAAATATAAAACGGCGCGCGTGTCTCTGTCCTCTGATATAAACACGGTGGGAGTTCGAAAAACACGAGAGAAGCAAGCTTAGGAACACGAGCGTAGCGAGTGTTTCTCTTGCTTCTCGAGTGCTTTTCAACTCCCACCGTGTTTATATCAGAGGACAGAGACACAAGCGGCCGTTTTATATTTCTTTTATAAAATTTTTCGTGCGAAAATAAAATTTTGCTGGTAAGCCGTGTCTCTGTCCTCTGATATAAACACGGTCGTCAGCCAATCAGAGCGCGCGTAATATATCAAAGATTTTATAAAAACAGTTATTGATGACACCAACAAAACCTTTCGGTTTCTTAAAAATATGCACAAAGGCTCCATTCTTCCCTTTTAAAGAAAAAACATTATATAAAAAACTATATAAACGATGCTTAGAATATTCGTTGAACTCATGGCATGTTTATCAATTATTAACACTAACTTACTGGTTTCACAGTTCTTTCCTTTAAATTCAGGTTTACATTTACATTCGTACGAATTGACTCCATCGATACATTTGGCACCATTTTGGCATGGCTTTTTCGCACAATCGTCTACATCTGCAAACAATCATATTATTAAACTGACATTGAAGTATATGTTATAGATTTCTACAACCATTTGCACGCCTTTACATAGTTCAGTCCACGTCGCTCAAAAATCTTCAATCGGAAGTTTGCTTCGATGTAGAAAGGAAATCTGCAAAGAACGGTTAATGTTTATCGCATTCCTTTTTTAAATATAAAATATAAAACCCAGCGAGCTTTTAAAAACGTTTGAAGGCAATCTAACCAAGAGTGAATGAATGCTATAAGACTGCAATGACTGGTGGGAGATATTCAAAACCTATTTGAAGACAGTTCAACATGTGAAGAGCTCGCTGGCTTTTGAATAAGTCTCAAAACACGTAGCTAGAAAGCAGTTCTATATACATAAAGACTCACTTTTCTTTAAAGGTTATAAAATGCCTCTATTGATTACCTGTTTCTCCGTTTCCACAATAACGCAGATGACAATGGGGAGGTTTATCCAGCTCGTACACGTAGAACCCACCACAGTTGCGCACGCGAATACTATTCTTAAACCTGCAGCAATTGCCATCCCAATTGTAACATGCTTGTCTAGTGACAGCCACCTCTGCCTGGCTTGGATGATTGCCTTTCATCCATCCAGTTGCTTTAGTTCCACAGTAGTATGTAGAAGGGCATTTAGTTGCGATAGATGTTCCTGCCTCGCCTTCAAAGCGGTACCAGCCTTTGCTGAGATCCAACTTGTCACACTTCAGCCCACCCCCGTGATTCATCATTGATCGGTCACGAGCGTTCAAYATCTTATAATCTTTGCATGCTATGAAATTTCAAATACAGGTATTGACGACATTGACAATAACTTTCGGTCCTACGTTCTTGGTCGCAACTGACAAAACTTTAAAATCAAGACAAACCTTACATGGCAGCTCTTAAACTTATGYATTGTGTTTACTTGAGCTAGCTTGTGAGTCTACGACCTGTTCCCTACCCTTCCTTCCCAGGGGTCCGAATCTAGAGAACAAACGCACACACGGTTCCACACACTGTACATACACGGTATATACAGCATACACCCCACTGTTGATTCGTGTTCTAGAACCTAGCTAGAGGTCAGGAATTCTGTTCTAAACTGGGGCCCATTTGCTTGATTTGGTAGCTATTTTTATCAAAACGCAATACATTGCAGATAAAATGGAAGCATACATTGAGTAATTATGATATCAAGAGTAAAAACCTACCAGAAGGAAGTCCAACGTATTCTGCAAAAAAAATTGAAAAGTTTTATTAGAATGGCGCTACTGAAAGGTGCATTTACATAAAATTAAAACTAAGAAATCTTATTTTTGTCATTGATTTGTTTAGATTACGAAACCAGTTCTTGAAAATAGTTATATATGCGCAACAAAGGCTCATCCATTCTTTCTTTTTAAAGAAAAAAATGACATAAAAGGTGAAGTTGGAGGTGGAACTCATCGCATGTTTATCAATCATTAACTCTAACTTACTGGTTTCACAGTTCTTCCCTTCAAATCCACKTGTACATTTACATTCGTACGAATTGACTCCATCGATACATTCGCCACCATTTTGGCAKGGCTCGTTGAAACAATCGTCCWCATCTGCAAACAATCATATTATTACACTRACATTGAAGTATATCCGTTTAAGGCCGATTTAGACGGCACAACGTTTGCTTWCAACCATCGCATGCAACCTGCGCAAGTCATCCTTACAACATGGCYACAACTGTCGTAGGGTTATTAGCAATTTGTTTTTAATMTCTACGACAGTTSTAGCCATGTTGTAAGGATGACTTAYGCAGGTTGCATGCGATGGTTGTAGKGGAAAGTTGTGCCGTCTAAAWYSGSCYTT